TGGTACCCACATACACACCCGTCAAAGTTTTTAAGGCTGCTAAATGAGGAACCAGAAAAGCTAGAATGCTGAAATTTTAAGGAGATGTCTTACACCCATGTAGGTCTTAATAAGTTTTAATCCAGACCTCGGGTGTGCGTGGTTCCCACGTACAGGCCCATGAAAGTTTATCGGGCAACGTGCTAACTCGAGAGCCTGAGAATCTAGAAGACTGGAATTTTAAGGGGATGTTCTCTGCTGAAGTAGGTTCTAATAAGTTTAAATCTAGCCTCCGAGTATGCCTGGTTCCTGTGTACGAGCCCGTGTAAGTTTTTTACGGGTAAGTTACTAACTCGGGATTCAAGAAAACTGGAAAGCTAAAATTTTAAACGGATTTCAGTCCTGGCGAACAGTCTTAATTCTTTTAGCTGGATGCATTTGCCGGAAAAACTGGTGCCGGTTGCGACAAAAACTACGGGAAACTATGCAAAAAACGCATCTTCGCACCGGCAGTCGGTGCGGTGGTCATTCACTAGCCCAGGGTTTTTATGTTGTGTGTGGTTTGGAGTGTGTGAAGATGTGTGTGTAGGGCCGATGAGGGAATCGTAACGATTACCGAAAACTGGGTTGGCATTATCGAAAGCTGGAACTGGAGCTATTGATTTGTACCATGCTAAGGCTCGCTTATATAACAAAACAGTAGCCACTCCTCCCCGATCATGGACGATGACCTGCGGAGATAACTTAAAAGGCCTAGACAAAGCCGGAATATCACATGCAAAGAAGTCTGGCGTCGCCACAAAGGACAGGCGCTACTTCTCGGAACATCTGCGGGCCATGCGAGTTCCCGACCAGCTCGTAGCATCAACAGACCCATTAATCGTCGATATCCAAAAAGGATTCTTGTGATAGTTAAAATACTTCCGTTTACAGTCGAGTGCATTTTAAATTATCTTTAATTTTTATAGGTCAAAAGTGCATGCATGCAGGTTGTGCGCGTTTGTATTGAATTTCTTAAAATCTAAAAAATGCGGTACTTTCAGAAGATTCCTGCGCACAAATTTATTTTGATTACGGGCTCTGCAGTTTTCGATGTAATGTTCAATGGGAGCATGGGGAATCGCTCGTCCGGTAAGCCCTACTGTTTTTTCATTCAAAATTGATAATTTGAAGAGCTTTTTTTTCTAAAATTTATATATAAAAAACGCTAAAAATTCTAGTCAGAGGGACAAATAATCCTTCCATGATCATTCTGATGATAAATTGCGTAATTGGAATTGCCATGAGATTAA